GGAAAATGTGTGACATGATGGTATATGCTACTATGATTCACTTAAAACATTCAACAAAGATAATATTTTTATAGTGATGATAGAAACATGAATTTTGGTAGAGTATTATGTTGAGGTTAAAACAATATTCTTTTTAAAAGTAAGAAGCCTGAAGAGGAGAAATGTAATTGGAATTGGTGGTGATGCACACACATTTTGTTAGTATATCAAAAAATGTGCTATTCTTTTTTTTTTATGTGCTATTCTTTTGCACATCAGAGGACACTATCAGAAGAGTGAAAAGACATCCCACAGAATGGGAGAAAATATTTGCAAATCATATACCTGATGAAAGATTAATATCCAGAATATGTGAAGAATTCTTACAATTTAACAACAAAGAAACAACCCAATTCAAAAGTGGGCAGAATGGGACTTATATAGACATTTCTCCAAAGAAAGTATATAAATGGCAATGAAGCAAATGTAAAGATACTCAACACCACTGGTCATTAAAAAAAGGAAATCAAAACCACAATGAGATCTACTTCACACCCATTAGAATGGCTATTACGAAAAAGGAAGAAGAAAATAACAAGTGTTGACGTGAAGAAATTGGAATCCTGAAAAATGGTGCAGCTGCTATGGAAAACAGTACGGCAGTTCCTCAAAAAATGAAGTACACAATTAACATCTGATCCAACAATTCTCCTCCTAGGTATGTACTCCAAAGAACTGAAAGCAAGGACTCAGCAGCATTACTCATAATAGTCAAAAGGTGGAAACAACCCAAATGTTCATCAGTGGATGGATGGATGAATAAAGTGTGATATCTATTTATCGATAGCTATATCTCTCTCTAGATAGATTAATCTATATACCCAATGGAGTGTTATTCCACTTTAAAAAGGAATGAAATTTTGATACATGCTACAACATGGATGAACTTTGAAAACATTAGCTTAGCATTAAATTCATAGATAAACCAAACACAAAAGGATAAATCTTGCATGATTCCACTTATATGAGGTACCTAAAGTAGGCAAAGTCATATAGATAGAAAGTAGAATGGTAATTACCAAGTATAAGAGGGAGAAGAATTAGCGAGTTATCATTTAATGGGTACGGAATTTCTTTTTTCTTTTTTTTTGGTACAGAATTTCTATTTGAGATGATGAAAAAGTTTTTTTTTTTTTATGAAAAAGTTTTGAAACCAGTCCTGAGGATTGCACATTATGGAAGTATTTAATGCCACTGTTTTTTTTTTTTTTTTTTGAGAGAGAGGGAGGGAGAGAGAGACAGAGAGAGAGAGAGAAAGGAGGCACAAGTGGGGGGAGAGGCAGAGGGAAAAGGAGAGAGAATGTTAAGCAGGCTCCTGGCACAGCGTGGAGCCCCCCATAGGGCTCATTCTCAGGACCTTGAGATCTGAGATCCTGGCCTGATCTGAAATAAAAAGTCAGATGCTTAACGGACTGAGCCACTCGGGTGTCCTGCCACTGAGTTGTTTAGTTAAAATGGTAAATTTTATTTTATGTGTATTTTACCACAATAAAAAAGGTGTTATTCTACAAACCTAAATAGAAGCCTTGCTTATCTAAATTTTGTATGCATGTGTATATATATTGTTTTTATTTGTTATCCACTATTAGTCAGGTTATAAGTATTTAAGTATTTGAATGTTACTTCATTAATAGGCCCAATGCCCCTCCATGATATTGAAAAATGATCCTCTATATTTTGGTTGAATTTTTCCAGAACCTATTGAAAATCTTAATCAAAATGTTCAAAAATTAGGGGCACCTGGCTGGCTCAGTCGGTTAGATCGCAGGCTCTTCATTTCTGCTCAGGTCATGATCTTAGAGTCCTAGGATCCAGCCCTCCATCTTGGGGCTCAGGTCATGATCTCAGGGTTCTGGGATTAAGACCCACTTTGGGCTCCCTGCTCAGCGGAAGAGTCTGCTTCTCCTTCTCACTCTCCCTCTGTGCTCTTCCTTTCTCTCTCTCAAATAAGTAAATAAAATCTTTAAAAGAATAAAATTATACTTTGAATCATGTTGATATGTTTGGTAGAGTTCTTATTCTTAAGTAGATATATTTACATTCTAACTGGAAATGAATGGCATTAAGAAGGCCTCTAATTTTCCAACAAATAAATGTGGCAAAATGTCTGAAAATTGTTTAAATAGACAACTTACTTTTTAAGTTTTGCTTGTAAAAGTATTTGAAGAAAATTATTCTGAATAGAGACAAAAAGGCAGCAGTGGGAAATACTGGGCATAAATATTTACACCGCTCAATACGACAAGAACAAGAATTGAGATTATCCTTCATTTAGCAGACTGTGCTCTGACCTTACAAGTTACTTCAGAAGGTGCAGAGAGATCATTTGCATTACAGATACATTCCATGGAGAAGAGTCTGTTGAAGGTATCAACCATCACAGTTATTTTAGCATTAAATGCAACTTCAATTAAAATTTGGTAGGCAGTTTTACAAAGTGTATTAATAAGACCACATTAGAATAAAATGTTCTGTGGTGCTTGGCTGGTTCAGTTGGAAGAGTTTGTGACTCTTAATCTTGGGGTTATAAATTCGAGCCCCACCTGGGGTGGAAAGATTACTTAAAAGTGAAATATTAAATTAAAAAAAATATTGGTACAAAAAATACTAAATGTGTCTAAAGCTAATATCTATATGTGCATATCTACCAAGCATAGTTATTCTCTACTTTCATGTATATAGTTAGAGTTATTTTAATATTTTAGAAGGGACTTTATTTTTGAAAATCAGTTTTGAATTAAAAAAGTTTTTTTAAAGATTTTATTTATTCATGAGAGACAGAGAGAGGCAGAGGGAGAAGCAGGCTCCATGCAGGGAGCCCGACTTGGGACTCGATCCTGAGACTCCAGGATCACACCCTGGGCCAAAGGCAGGAGCTAAACTGCTGAGGGATCTCCCAGGGATCCAGGGATCTCCCTTGAATCAAAATTTTTATAGGTCTACCAATTTATTAAACCAGTTTGCTGGTCAGGAAATACATTTTAATATTTTAAATATCATCTTTTCTTTCAAATGTATCCCAGTTTGGATGATCACAATATACGGTCACTCTATCTGTGACTCAGGATTCTACTCCTAGGCATAGTTCCATGCAAAATGTTTTTTTTTTTTTTTTTTTTTTTTTGCAAAATGTGTTCATATAAGCAACATAAGACATGTGCAAAGATGTTCATAGGAGATGGTTTATAAGACCCTGAACTAGGAACAGCCAAACAGTCCAACTGAATGGATAAGTAGCTTATGGTTTTACCGATAGCTGCACATTAGGATCACCACGTTTCCAAGGAATCTTCCCTCAGTCTCTAAGACCCACTGCTGACACCTGCTATCGGGCAGTTTGAGAACCCTGAGGTCCAGGCCTTCTTCTAGACTCTTCTTCCTGCTGAAGACTGGCTACGCAGCAGTAGCCATGAGGCTGAGGGTGAACACAATTCTCAGAGTAATGACTGGTGTGGTTTCCCTTCTCCATGCAGGTCTTCTGATTCTGCTGTTGGAGAGACTCAGGCCAGGCCACCATCTGCTTCAGTCCTCTGAGGGCTGGGGCTGTGCTTTTAGCATTTTGGTATCCCCACTGATTAGCTTAGTAAATAAAAGGGTCAGGACAGTCTTGTAAGGGACAACTTAAATGTTCCTCACCAAATGACTCCTATTCTCTTTCCCAACTGTGGCCAGGACTCCTTCCCTAATACTTGCTAGGAACAAAATCAGCAGCAGCAGCAGCAGCAGCAGGAGTAACAACAGCAGTAGCAGCAACAGCAGCAGCAGCAGCAGTAACGGCAGCAGCAACAGCAGCAGCAGCAGCAACAGCAGCAGGAATAACAGTAGCAGCAGCAACAGCAGCAGCAGCAGCAGTAACAGCAGCAGGAGCAGCAGCAACAGCAGCAGCAGGAGCAGAAGCAGCAGCAGCAGCAGCAGCAGCAGCAGCAATAGTAACAGCAGCAGCGGCGGCAGCAGCACCACCACCGCCACCACAACCACCGCCACCAGCACAGCAGTGGCAGCAGCACCACCACCAGCACCAGCACAGCAGCAGCAGCAGCAGCAGCACCACCACCACCACCACCAGCACAGCAGTGGCAGCAGCAGCAGCACCACCACCACCACCAGCACCACCCACCAGCACCACCAGCACCAGCACAGCAGTGGCAGCAGCAACAGCAGCACCAGCACCAGCACCAGCACCACCACCACCAGCAGCGCAGCAGCGGCAGCAGCAGCCTCTGTTCCTGGCCTGGGCAGAGACAGGAAGGGGCTGCAGGAGGAAGTACCCCCTTCTTGACCACGTGCTGCTGCTGCCTTCACATTCCGAGCCCGAGTTTTCCTTCTTACAGTTCTCACGTGCAAGCCGGAAAACGTCTTCGTGAGGCCTCACCATCCTTGGCAGAGATGGAGGAGTTGCTGATTGGACAGGTGACGCGACTTGCCGTTCGGGGACCCACTCGGGCACACTGACGACTGTTACCGACCCGGGGGTCCTTTGGCTCCCTGGGCGGAAACCGACGCGAGGCCCAGGGCGTTGCGGCTGGCGTTTCTTGCCAGCTCGGGTCCGGGCAGGAGGGAGACAGCCCTAGGGAGCGACATGGCAGGGGGCTCCCCAGCAGAGCGCGGGAAAGTGTTGGAAGGGGCGGGGCGGGAGCGCGGTGACGTCAAAGCACGCGGAGGGGGGCGGGGAGCACAGGCAGGTGCGCAGGCGCAGTGGACGGCACAGGCTGCTTCCCTCAAGGCCGCAGCTTGCTTGCGCGGGAACCGTCCACCCCTGGAAGATGAGGGGTGGGGTCCCTGGTGGCTCCGACTGGTCTAGGCTGGATTTTGCAGGCGCAGACCGCTGGTGAGGTGCGCCCTGGAGCTGGGGTGGGCCCTGTGGCCTCAGGCCCTGTGGTGCCCCTGCACCTGCGAGCTGGTTCTGGAGAGATGCGGCCGTGCGGCCGTGCGGCTGCGCCAGGAGGGGCCGAGGCGGCTCCAGAGCCTCGGGAAAGGGCACTGCAAACGAGTAGACACTTGGAGAGCTCTCCTTTTGAAACAGGCTGAAGGTATAAAGAGGTTAGGGGCCTGGGGCAACTTTATCCGAGGTATGCGTTTCCAGGAGGCACCTCAGCATCGCCTTCTGTTTCAGGGACCAAGGGGTGTGCTGGCGCCCGAGCTTCCGCAGCAGCTTCCAGAACCGACCAGCGATGCATCGGGCGGTGCCGTGTTGACGTGGGCTGTGGTGGAGAGCTGAGCTACTGGGATGGGCCAACCCTCCAAGGGCTCCTTCCCTCCCGGCAAGGTGGGTTGTTGAGCCTTTTCCAGAACCTCCCCACCTGACACCCCACATCCCACTTTATGCTGCACAGTTGTGGAGTGAAAGGTATTTTAAGACCGTCCTTTGGTGGGTAATAGTAGAGCAGTGGTCGGTAAAAATAAGACCAACCCTCATCGTTTGAAATGCAAACTTGCACAGCTTTGCTGTGTTAGATGGTCCACTATGGTGGTTTTATTTTTATTTTTTTAATAATAAATTTATTTTTTATTGGTGTTCAATTTGCCAGCATACAGAATAACACCCAGTGCTCATCCCGTCAAGTGCCCCCCTCAGTGCCCGTCACCCAGTCACCCCCACCCCCCACCCTCCTCCCCTTCCACCACCCCTAGTTCGTTTCCCAGAGTTAGGAGTCTTCATGCTCTGTCTCCCTTTCTGATATTTCCTACCCATTTCTTCTCCCTTCCCTTCTATTCCCTTTCACTATTATTTATATTCCTCAAATGAATGAGAACATACAATGTTTGTCCTTCTCCGATTGACTCATTTCACTCAGCATTTCACTTCCTTTGCAAGCCAACAAATCACGTGACTGGTCAAATGGACAAGTTTCTGGGAACACAATGAGTTTGAGGGAGTGTTTGGGGCAGGAGTCAAAAATGTTAGTTGCTTTAACATAGAAGATTAAAGCAGCCATTAAGAAAAACAAAAACAAGTCTGTTAAGATGTACCGTGGGCCATCAAGATTCTGTTGGCCAGTCCATTTTTCTTAAACTGCTTGCTAGAAAAAAAAAAAAAAAAGATGGACCAAAGTGCCCTTACCTAAGGGACAAGCCAACCTGTCATAGCCCACCTGATAAAAAACAGCTTTGGCTGTGTCTTGTGCCTGACATGAAGTGAGCCTTGTGTCTACACGTGATTTTTGAACACTTGAGCTTTAAGTAGCAACTGAGACAGCTAGCTGCCTCTGGGTTTTCTCAAAATTAGGAAAAAAGAAAAAAAGAATAAAAAAAGTCCATCGAGTTCCATCCACGTTGAAGCAAATGGTGGGTATTTGTCATTTCTAATGGCTGAGGAATACTCCATTGTATACATAGACCACATCTTCTTTATCCATTCATCTTTCGATGGACACCGAGGCTCCACTTTAATACTTCAACTGGCGTTAAACAATAAAATAAATACATTAATTTTAAAAGTTCTTCTGAGGCATTACACATATATTTTATGTTTTATTAATTATGATTTTTTTTGTATATTTTTTATTGGAGTTCGATTTGCCAACATATAGCATAACACCCAGTGCTCATCCTGTCAGGTGCCCCCCTCAGTGCCCTACACCTCATGTTTTATTTATTTATTTATTTTTAAAGATTTTATTTATTCATTCATGAGAGACAGAGAGAGAGAGATGAAGAGACACAGGCAGAGGGAGAAGCAGGCTCCATGCAGGGAGCCCGACGTGGGACTCGATCCCAGGTCTCCAGGATCACACCTTGGGCCGAAGGTGGTGCTAAACCGCTGAGCCACCTGGGCTGCCCCTCATGTTTGATTTTTTTTTCTTTTGTGGTACTCCATTCTTTTATTTTTTATTTTTTTATTGGAGTTCATTTTGCCAACATATAGCATAACACCCAACCAAGTGCCCCCCTCAGTGCCCATCACCCAGTCACCCCAACCCCCCCCCCCCTCCACTTCCCTTTCCACTACCCACTACCCTTGTTCGTTTCCCAGAGTTAGGTGTCTCTCATGTTTTGTCACCCTCACTGATATTTTCACTCATTTTCTCTCCTTTCCCTTTATTCCCTTTCACTAATTTTTATATTCCCCAAATGAATGAGACCATATAATGTTGTCCCGTTTGATTTAAAGCCCACTTTTGCTACACTTAGAACATTTCCCAAGTTGCTGTGTGAGAGGATCTAGGGTTCAGTAGATGGCGCTGCTGCACTGTCTTTTCAGTCAGATTTCAGACTTGTTGATTTCTGGGACACTAATCAGAAACTTGTGATGGGCATGGAAGAGGTTGGGAGGGAAACCCAGATCTCTTAAGCTAGTCCTAGGTAGGTACCAACTAAGATTCTGAGTGTCATTTTTTTCAAACCCTTTAAAATTCTGTGCTTTGAATAAATAGGGATATTGTGAAAAGATCCATTCATTGGGCATTTATCTTTAATACTCCTCATCTGAGAATCTAAAGATATCCTGCTAGGATCTTTTCTCCAGGTCTTACAATTCAGATGTGTGGATGCACTAAAGGGCAAATCTTTTACTGTTCTTTTCATATGTAAAAGAAGTCACATTACCCTGAAAATTAGATTTTCACTCCCAGAAAACTGCTTTTCAATTTTTTTTTTTTATTTTTATTTATGACAGTCACAGAGAGAGAAGGAGAGAGAGGCAGAGACACAGGCAGATGGAGAAGCAGGCTCCATGCACCGGGAGCCCGACGTGGGATTCGATCCCGGGTCTCCAGGATCGCGCCCTGGGCCAAAGGCAGGCGCCAAACCGCTGCGCCACCCAGGGATCCCTTTTCAATTTTTTTAAAAAAATCACCAACACCATAAGAAGTAAGATGAACTCTCTATAACGAATGAATGTGTGACAAGCTGACTGGCTACAGTATCTTTCCTGCCACCCCTATGCCCATCGTTGGAGCTGGCTGATAGGCATCAATTGTTCAATTTATTCTTCTTGGAAATATTTCAGGGATACAAAATAGGATATGTAATAATGTAACAAACATACATTTACCTACACTCAGCTTTAGAACAAACACATCAAGGGTATACTTGAACCCTCTATGTATTATTCCCAATTGCATTTACTGCCCTCCTCCCTAGTATTTGGTCTTCAGTTGTTTTTCCATTTGTGTCTTTGTCATCTATCATCCTGACTTTGTTTGCAGCTTGCTTTTTTTCCATTCGACACTGTATTTTAGAAAACTATCCAAGCTTATGTCTAGTTCGTTTTTACATTTACACGTTGGGTGAATTCTCCACACTTTGTTTGAACCATCCATCGATGCTTTAAGATGCTTTAAATATCTAATGATATTTATATCACTGCCAGTTTTCCACTATTACAGACAACACACATTCTTGTTTAGGTGTGAGATATTCCTTTAAACCTTTATGTTTGGGATCCCTGGGTGGCTCAGCAGTTTAGTGCTGCCTTCGACCAGGGTGTGATGCTGGGGTCCCGGGACCGAGTACCGCATCTGAATTCCTGCAGGGAGCCTGTGTCTCCCTCTGCCTGTGTCTCTGCCTCTCTCTCTCTCTCTCTCTCTCAAATAAATAAATAAATAAATAAATAAAATCTTAAAAAAATAAACCTATATGTCTTATGCACCTTAACAACAATGAAACGTAAAGAATACCTACAGTCATTGCAGCCCACTGATCTTCACGTTCCCTCATTCAGTGTAGTTTGTGTGATTTCTTAAAGGAGTCAATGATTTAAAAATATTAGAAAGCAATGGATGAGGGATCAGAAAGCCATTTAGAGGGTAACTCAGCTTCTCTGAATTTGTTTTCTAACTACCTAGGTGTGAAATGCTACACATTGCATTTTACTTCAGAATGCCAAATAGCTCTTCAAAGTCATTGCAACCATTCCTACTCCTACTGTGTTCAGGAACGCCAACTGCTTGTCATCCTCCCCAACACAATCAATCTCATTGCTGTTGATTTTTAAAAACTTTCTTATCAAAAATTTCAAAAATCTACAAAAATAGAATAGAATAGTGAACTTTTATGTTCCTGTCATTCAATTTCAACAATTACTAATTCATAGTTTATCTTGGATCCTGTACCCTCATTCACCCACGCACTCCCCCCTGATTATTTGAAGCAAATCTCATCATTCCAGAATATCACTCTGAAAGGTGAGGATTCTTTCTTTTGACCATAATCTTGATACCATGATCATGCTTAAAAAAAATTAACAGCCATTCCTTAAGCACGTCAATAACCAGTCAGGATTTAAATTTTCACAATTGTCTCATTACATTTTTATGTTTTGTTTGACTTGCCATCCCAAGTAAGAGGCATAAGCTTTGATTGTTGGTTTGTCTTTTAAATATCTTTTAATCTATGGATTCCTTCTCTCATGTCTTTATCACCCAATTGGATTGGGTATCTTAGAGAGTTTCCCACAGTCTGGATTTTGCTGATTGTGTCACTTGCTCCTTTGTCTCCATATTTTCTGAAAACTGATGTCACATCATGATCAGGTTTATGTTCAAGTGTTTTGGCCCCATAGTTCGCAAAGTACCCCTGTACATCCTTTCAGGATCTCTTTCTAGTCAAGAAATTGGGCTTCTTTGCACAGGCTAAGGTCACAGCTCACACGATGAGAAGCAGCATTCCTGGGGCATAGTCTACATGATTTTTCTCTTTTCCCTTTAGCTAAATTTGATGACAATCTTGGATGGGAGTCATTCAATTGAAACATACACTGCATCAAAATAATAACTTCTGGGGTACCTGGGTGGTTCAGTCAGTTAAGTATCTGCCTTCAGTCAGGTCATGTGCCTGGAGTCCCAGGATTGAGCTCATGCTGGGCTTCCTGTTCAGTGGGGAGTCTACTTCTCTCCCTCTCTCTGCCTGCCCCCGTCATTGCTCCTGCTCTCTTGCTTGCTCACCCTCTCTCTCTTTCTCAAATAAATAAATAAAATCTTAAAAAAATATAACTTCTAATCCCAAACAACTTCGTGTGTACTTCAGATCCTACATATCCCTGCTCCTCCAATTGGTAATCTAATTTTATTTTTCATCCATCCAGTATTTTCAGAGTTAGAGTTCAAAAAACTTAAAAATTCTCTTTTCTTGTTCTATTTAATTACTAAAAAGTAAACTAGATATCTTTCCATGTTTTTAGGCTATTTGGCTGGGTTAGGAGAAGGCAAAACAAGTAGAGTGAAAGTAAATGAGTAGAGCAAATGAGTAGAGCATTCTTAGTCTCTAAAGTTCACTCTTGGTGAACTATGTTATGGGGGGAAAAGAGATTTATAATTTTGATGAAAT